TGTATAGATAATGGATTTTTATTATTATGTCAGGGCTTAACATGACACCAAGCAAACTGTGTGTGTAGATGAAGACCATGAGATGCAGATAGAAGCTCTGTACAAACTAAACCGTGCTTTACAGTTGAACAGTCGTAACGGTTTGGCTTTAGAAATACTCTGACTGAACATTTCCTCCTCACATTTATGCCACCTTCACCAACTGATGAAGAAAATGAGAAGCAGTTGAAAGCTCAAGAATCATGAAACCGTGAAAGCCATTCTTGACGTAATAAACAGCAGTTTGAAACAGAAATCTCACTTTTTTTTTTCTATGTGCAGTGGAAGACCTTGAGATGCAGATGAAAGCTCTGGAAAACTAAACATGAATTATACCCAGAAATTAGAGTTAATTATGTTTTCTGGAAAGGGTTTGACTGGACAGTGATTGTCCCAAGATGCTGTACCAGCTTCTTTTTTAAGCCTACGCTGAGTCATACTTCATCGAGGAGTGAAGAACATGAGAAGTGGTTGAAAGCTTCTTAAAAAAAAGATTCAGCCATCATGTTTTTGCCCAAATGTTTGTGGAAAAGTCTTAAGCCAGGTAACAAGGTGATTTGTTTGAGTGTGAAGGTTTATTGTTGACCTTCAAATAGTCGTTTGATGAAGGAAGCTTTTAACTAAAGGTCTGCTTACTGCCGGGTTTTGGTTGATGATGACTATCCAGCTGAAAGCTCCAGAAAAAAAACACTATATGAACATAATTATATATTATTTAAAATATTTTTTAGGATTTTTTAATATAAAATTTAGCAACAACAACAAAAAAAATGAATTTCAACACTTGCTGGCTTTTTACTGCAGGAAAATGGAGCAAACGCGTCTGTTGATGAAGACCATGAGATGTGGTTCAAAGTTAAAAAAAAACTACACTCAGGGTTCAGTGTCCGGTTTGATCTGTGATCTGTGCAAACTTTGTCAAACGATGAAGATCTTCAGATGCAGTTGAAAGCTCTGGACAAAAGCTAGACAAAGAGCAATGTAGTTTTTTTCACTTCATGCTCAAATATAAATCTTGTGCGTCTCCTTGTCGGCATCAAGCTCTGTCAAAAAAGCTCATAAAATAAGTGACACTGCAAAAAAAAAAAAAGTCAAACACTACCCTCCAAACCCTTCTATTAATTTCTTCTTCAGCGTTTCTGTTCTGCTCTAACAAACCTGTGATATCAGAGACATACAGAGACACAGTCCCATGGTTAAGAACAGTCCTTTACTTTGTGGAGAGCTCCACACACATCGACACTGACATGATTTACAAGGAGATTTACTGTCACACCCAGCAGTAAGACACATCAACCACATTCTACAGTTGAAATGAAAAAACAGGACATCTCANAAAATGGCCGATGAACACGATGAGATGCTGTTAACTTATGAAAGACTGAATATTTATTGTTGGCTTTGAAAATAGTCGTGCCAAACAATGTAGTTTTTTTTCACTTCATGCTCAAATATAAATCTTGTGCATCTCCTCGTCTGCACCAAGCTCTGTCAAAAAAGCTCATAAAATAAGCGACACTGCAAAAACAAAAAAGTCAGAAACTACCCTCCAAACCCTTCTGTCAATTTCTTCTTAGGTGTTTCTGTTCTGCTGTAACACATCTGTGATATCAGAGACATACAGAGACTCAGTCACATGGTTAAGAACAGTCCTTTACTTTGTGGAGAGCTCCACACACATCGACACTGACATGATTTACAAGGAGATTTACTGTCACACCCAGCAGTAAGACACATCAACCACATTCTACAGTTGAAATGAAAAACAGGACATCTCATAAGGTGCTTCATAATATGCAACAGGAATGTTATGAAAAATGTCCACATGATCCTACGGAGACAGCAGTACTGCATCTACATATATATTCATACCATAATATAAAACAATCTACACAAAAATAGAGCAGGTATTTACAGAACGGAGACTATTTACAACGTCTAAAACGGGCCTAAGGATGGAGAGCAACATATATATACTGCAAATATATATATATTTATGCCAGATTAATGTACAAACGGTGAAATGTACAGGAGCGACACGATTGAAAATCACAAATTAGCCATTTGCAGCAGCTGTTCTTTGAACTGCTGTGCGTGGTGTGAGAGGTCAGTGACTCGGTCCACCATCTCCTGGATGGCAGCTGTGTTGGGGTAGTTTAGGGCGGCCGTTTTCGTCGCAGCCACCACCGTCTTTAACAGATCACACAGCACGTTGCTGGAGTTCATCACCCTGTTGGCCACCTCGGGCACCGAGGCCTGTCTGGACAGAGTGTCTCCGATGAAGACCAGTTTGTGGGCGCTGAGGATGACGAACTTGCTGTGCGCGACGAAGATGCGAGGAGGCTGACCGGCGCTGACGCAGCCGAAGAAGGCGTCCACGGCGCTGAGGAGCGTGACGAAGTGCTGCTCGCACTGCTCGGAGTAGAAGCTGAGCAGCTGGCGGTCCCGAGCGCACACGGGGGTGGAGGGGGAGATGGGTGAGGAGTCTGAGGGGGAGGCCGAGGTCATCCCCGAGTGTTGGTGTGAAATCCACTGCGTGATGTCGTTCTCCACGGGCTTGATCACATCCTGCTCCAGCTTCTTGAACTGATTAATCTGTGAAGGGTGAAAGGACTCACGTCATCCTCTGACTTAGATGCACCACACTCTGATTTACAGAGAGACTCAGAAACACAGGTGAACATCACCGTGACCGTCACACTCACCTCAGTAACTACTAGGATTATTTTTAAATACACACAATCTTCACTAAAGGAGACAAAAAAACATCAGGCTCAACAGAAAACAACAGACGGGTGTGTAAAACCCCCCAATAAAAAAGACAAACACAGATCAGCACACCTCCATCGGTAGATATTTCCTTTGATAAACTTCATACAAGCAGAAATGTGCTAATGACAGAGCTACAGATTCCACAGATGTGATTACACACTGAGGAAGGCAGGACTTCTGTGAATCCAGAGGATACTTAAACGAGAATATCTACTGAAACACAAACTCATGGATTTGGATCCTGAATAACATTTAATTAACGGTAGAGCTGTGGTAATTAACTGAGTAGTTATTAACTCTTAAATTAACCGCCATTGTTTTGATCATCGAAGTTGCGTTCAGGAAAAAAAGTCTTTGCCTGCAGCGTCTTAAATATGAATATTTTCTGGATCTTTCCTCATCTGTGACAATAAAATGAATATTTTGGGGCTTTGCACAAAAAATTGACATCTGTGAGATACACTAATTAACTTTTTATTTTATTTTTTTAACCAATTTCTGACATTTTAGAGACCAAACGACTAATCAATTAATCTAGAAAATAACAGACAGATTAATGGACAATAAAAAAGAATCAATTTTTAACATTCAGTTGTAGGAACACTTTTTTGTTAGCAAAGCTTTTTATTGTTTTGGTTCTTTCTACAGCACAAATTAACTTTTCTTATGTATTAAAAGCATCAAACTGTATCTTCAGGAGTAAATATTTAATGTGACCTTCATTGGTTCAGAACCTGTTCGGTATTTGCTAAAAATAAATATTCTGTTGCTCCAGGAAATTAAACATGAATTGTCTGAAACACTGCCTGTCTTAGTTTTAGCATATTGAGCAGCGTTAGCAAACAGTAACACGCAGTAATGGACCGATTTGTTTTGGAGCGAACTAATGCAGCGGTGGAGCGTCAACAGGACGCTGAAGAATTAGTTTATCAAACTGAAAGTGGGTCATGAATTACAAATTCATAATGTAATCGATAATGGATTCATACGATTCATTTTGCAGCCTCGTGAGGGCGTCGTCTGTGAAAGTCAAGATTAAAATTCTGCCGTTTGGGACGGATGGAGTCAGAAAACTGTCTCCGAGTCGGGCTGCAACGGATCAATAAAATTAATCTGCAGCTTTTTTCATTATCAATCATTCAAATTAAGGAACGTTTCAAATATTTGCTGGTTCCAGATGATCAAATGTTTGCTTTGAGTTTTAAATGATAGTAAATTAAATTTTTTGGTGTGGTTTTGGGCTCTTGGTTGAAATTAACAAGTAATTTAAGTGCATAGCTGTGGGCTCTGAGGGACTGTCGATTAAAGAAGAACATAATCTGCTGATTAATCAATGATAAAAATAATTGCAGCTCTACACAGGAGCAAGTTATGAGTTTTTAAATGTGGCCGAGGAGATTATAGCCACCGAAAACTTGCCTTAAAAACGAATCACTGTGCAACTGTCAGTATTACATCTGAAATACAACATCCCGATTATGTCCACATAGTTTAAGTCTCAATACTTGGCGGTTGTGCAGCATCAGGGCTGTTGGTTGCCATTTAACTGACTGAAAAAGACTTTAGAACTATAATCAGATGTTTTTGAATCCTTGTTGGTGCACAGGAGTTAAAACTGCATGAAGAACCGTAAGAAGAGCAAAGAAAACAGCAGGGACGGCGTTAAGTGCTTCAAAGTGTTTAAACTTGGGTCAGAACACCGTGTTCTTTGCAGGAAACTGACTGAGAAACTGAGTTTTCAGAGGCTTTAATCTCTCAGTTTTGTATGAGACTGTGTCGACATCCGACTCCCTCTGACTTGACGTCTTTGTCTCATTGTCTCTCCAACACACCTGTGAAACCCAGTGAAAGATGAAACTCACCTGTTCCTGACCCAGCTGAACTTGACTCTGCTTGATGATGTTTTCTTTCTCCAACAGCTCCTTCTGCTGACGTTCAAAGTCTTCTTTGCCCTGTTGAAGACGACAAACAGGTAAGAAACGGCACTCAGAGCCACTCTGGTTGAATGTTTGATGCATGATAGAAAAATGAGGTTTAAATGTAGGCAGTAAAGCTATGAGAGTTGGTCACAGGCCTTTAAAATACCAAAAAAGAAAGAGTCAGAAGTCCTCAGTTGTAGCCGACACAAACCACTGATGAAGGACTACGAATGAGTTCACATAGTCTCAGAATTTGAACATTTCTGACCACGACAACTTTCACTTTCTAGATCCACAGAAGATGATTTAAAAAGGGATAAATGTGACACTGCATCTAGGTTTATGATCTGAGATGTTCTCTGGTTTACCTGCAAATGTACGTAGTCGTAGTCCTCCATCCAGCTCTTCACGCACTTCTCACTGTTCATGTTGTCTTTGTCCTGGCTGGAGGGAACAGGGAAGGGCTTGGTCTGGCCGCCGTAGTTGTCGTTATCTGAGGAGGGGGAGGTGAGCGGGTGGATCATGTTCTCGTCAGGTGAGCTGCCCACAGAATAAGACCCGTCCATGTGCGTCCGCCGGAACAGCAGCTCGGCGTTGCTGCCTATCGTGGAGGCCAGCTGCTTGGCGTCGTCGGGAACCGTCCTGGAGACCATGACGAAGCGGTCCAGGTCGTCGCTCTTGTTGTGGTGCTTCCCAGACGAGGCGAGGGCGTTCAGAGCCCAGCTGCAGTTCTCCAGGACTTGGTAGATCTGTAGAAGGATCTGCTGCGAGTCCTCCAGGCGACCCAGCTGCCTTCTGAGCTTACTGTGCAGGCCGGAGTCTGATAGAGATGTGGCGTTAACTGCAGCTCCTCTACCGAACACAATGAAGTCCCCCAGAGCAGCCCGGACTCTGTCCAGCACCGTGCGGACGTCGTTAGCGTGGCGCTCCATGAAGGGAAAAGTCCTCCAGTGAGGCGAAGCTGCCATTGAATGTAAAGCCCCGACCGAGAGGTCCACTGCCTGCTGCAGGCGGTACAACCTCTGCACGGCAGCGTCCAGGTCCAGAGCCAGGCGGCCCTCGGAGCTGGAGCCGGTGGAGGACGAGGAGGTGGACATGCTGCTGCGAGTGCTGCCAGTGCTGGAGAACGACAGCCGGTTCACGCCGTCCGTCACGTCCGCGACCGCACGGGCGTCCTGAGCCGGGATGTCGTAGATTCCTTTACTTCCATCCCTGTCGGCGGGTGAGGTTCTGTGCTGGGACGGCTGCATGCCGCGGGGGATGTCGTACACGTCCCGCTGAGACCCCGCCCCCGAATGAAGGGCCGGCGGGGGCACGTCGTAGATGCCCTCGTTGCCGTTGACGTTTGGATGTTGGTGATGGGCAGAAGGCTCAGAGCTCGGGGGGAAATCGTAGTGAGACTGGGGGCTCTGTGCTGGTTTGGTGAGGGCGGCGGGAGGGACGTCGTAGATGCCCTCCTGCTTGTGCTTGAGAGGCTGCGGGAAGTCGTAGTTCCCCTCTTGGAGGGCAGGATTAGTCCTGCAGGGAGGCACCGAGTAGACCTGCAGGGTGTGACCACAGTTATTATGGTTTTTATGCAAAACAGTCGGTGTGTTTTATGATTGTTGTGTAACTATTGTGTCAGACACATACAAGTGCACACCCAAAGAGTGGTGGCAGTGGTGAAGAGTGGCTTCAGACATACACAGAACTTCTTACATAATACATGAAACACACACTTTGTTTACTAAAAAAATACTAAATGAATTAACAAGTATGAGTCCTTGTAGACGACAGAAAAGATCAGAAACTACCGCCTTGCTGTCGACATGCTCAAATAAAGGAAGTATGTCTGATTGGTGTCTTCAAATGGTTTAAACTGTTTGAATTGTGCTTTTAAATGATGCCAAAATACAGCAGCAACATTTTCACTTAGTCTCACGAGTCTGAAAGAAGTTTAGCTGCAAATAAAGAACCGTCGTCTTCTTTCCTAAACTCTACAAATAAAACCAGCTGCAAAAGATTCTGTCTCTAAAAGGCAACTTTTGATGAACTAAATAGAAATTTAAGACACTTTAATTTAAAGTCATTGATCAGTGATTTAAAAACTTGGGTTCCTACATTCAAACAGTTGGAGACATCTAGTAAAGGCAGCAGGCTTCTCAAATTGCTCATTGCTGTCTACTCATTTAAGAAATGATCTTGAAAGAGTCGACTGTAACCTGCATGTAAATGCATGTCAGTGGGTTTTCACTGGACGCGTGTTTTTTATGCTGCAGTTGGAGTTTGAGGAAGTGAAAGACCTTCTGGCTCGTGTCGATACTATATTTGAAACCTCAGTTTCTGCCTTTGAATCCTTCCTCTAAAGCAGCAGTCCAACAAAGCCGAACCGTCCTTCGGTCTTGACAGAGCAGAGTGTGTGTTGTGACGTACATCGCTGAGCATGATGGGAGTGCAGCGGGCTGAATAAGATGGTGGCCTGTAAGTGATTTCCATCAGCCTCGAAATGCTCTCTTTACAGCTAGACAGGCCTGCCCAAACTGTAATTAGGAACGACGCAAATAACAGGTTCCAGCATATTTCAGGTTATTACAAACAAACTGATGGCGCTGTGCCTGGTCGGGCCTGGTGAAATCTTAGAGGCTCTGGAAACAGAAGAGTTATGTCCTTGACGGTTTTTTTTTTTCCCTCCTGCTGGAGAGTTCAGACACAGAGCCATACTCATGGAGTTTTGGTTAAACTCTACTGGCAGGAAAGGCTTTCATTTAAGGCAGCCACAAGAATGTCATAAATATGACATTTGACGTATTATTATTCATTTAATACAGACAATTAAGAGAAATACGAGGAACTGTGTCAATAAACATAAAATAACATTTTCCGGACATAAGCGGCTTCCTTAATTTGTTTTACTGAAACAAAGCGCCCTTTCATCGTGTTCAAGCTCCACTAGCTGTTGAAACGTCCTCTTACCCCTTGTGAGGACGGAGGTATGTCATAAACTCCTTGTGTCCGGAGGTCCATTTGTGACGGGGGAACGTCGTAGACTCCCTGGTTTCTGGCTCCGGCTTGTTGACCCGAGAACATCTGACCAGGTGGAATATCGTACACCTGGAACATGGAAGCAGGAACAAATAAACACCACATGTACAGGAGAAAGAATCATACAAAGAACTGAAGTGGTCCTTAAACGTATTGGATTAGATTTGACTTTTCTGGTTTTTATGGTGAAGGAGTTCTGGTAGCTTCGCTTTAACAAGCTGTAAACACAACTTTTAACCTTTGAAGCCGGTATGGTGAAGCTGTTAGCAAGCTGTTGCTTATTGACACTTCAGTTAATTACAGGGCAACTTTATCATTCGGCTGGAGGCGTGTTTCACTTCAGCGTTTGCTTTCTTTTTGCTCTGAGGGAAATATCTCTCTGTAGCTGCTAAATGTCTGTCTGCTGTTTGTTGTCACTGTGCAGTGTGTTTGTGGAGCATTGTAGATGAAGAATGCTGCTTTTAGAGCAACTACAACAAACCGACAGAGTAGAGTCACAGATTGATGTTAAAACAGACGACTGAACTCTGCAAACCTGAAGAAAACTGCAGTTTGGATGATAATTCTTTGTATCTTCATCAAAACTACATCGTCATCTCGCACATGATGCCTAAAATACAGATTATAGCCACTTTGAATAATGCAAAAACGAGTTGCCTGCAGTGGGAACATCACCACAGTGCTGCGGTTCGCTTTTTTTTTTTTTAAGACAAGATGACAAGACAAAACTATAACAGTCAAGGATCCTTTCTGAGAAAATTGGGTCACAGAGCTGAACGGCAGAACAGGATATGTGGTAGATGAGCACACGGAAGATGCTGAAGATCAAGGAAACGACTTTCTTGTTTTGACTCATGCAGAGCTTCTGTGTAGCTGACATTTGATTAATTTACTATTTTTAATTTCACAACCGTAGTCGATTAGAGTTAAGCTCTAATTCGTGACAGCTTCTCTTGGATACGACACAGTTTAAGCTTTGAAGTCGTAGAAGACCGTATCAGAGTGTTGGTAAACTACACATCATGCATTCTCCACATTATTGTGGAACATTTTGAAGCTCTGCGGGTTGACATATTTAAAATATTTTCCTTGCTGTTTAATTTCTGTCTGGTATGAAAATCAAGTGGCAGAATCTTTAAATAGTTTTAGGCTGCGTAGTCCGCCACACTCGTGTTCGTCGGGCTTTCAGTTTCTTTGCAGTCTGCTGAGTGATTTAGTCGCTGCACAGAAATGATAGAAATCAATAGAAGAAGTACAGAACAGCGCCGTGGTTGGCACAGTGGTTACCCAGGTGTGAGGTATGAGATGTATGTGGTAAATGGGTTAAAACGGGCAAAGACACTGGTGTCAACTTTAAAAAATAAGTAAATTCATATCATGGAATACCTACGATGTTTAAATAGTCAGGTTATTTATGATTACAGAATGTTTTTTAAAGAGTTTCGCATTCATAACAGTGAATTTCGTGGGTTTTTCAGTAGCCGCAGTAGGCCGTGCCGTTGCAGTGTACATGCTTGGGGCAACACGAGACACCTACCCCCTGTGATCTACTGGGTGGGACGTCGTAGAGGTCCTGCTGGTTGTGCTGTCCCGGGCTGTAAGTGTAGGACTGTCCCACTCTGGTCGGGGTCACCACCTGTCCGATCACAGCAGGGTCAGAGACAAACAATCAGACAAACAACACCTGGCCAACAGCAGTGCTCGACGCAAACGCTCACAAATTACAGCAGAATCACAAATTCCAGCTGCCACCCAGATCTCAGGCTTCTGTCCCGGGTCTGCTTTGCTTTGCCTGCTCAGTCCTCACATGAGCCAGACACAGTAAGTGATCGCAGATATTTTCTGACAACATCCTCCCTGTTTCAGGCTGTTTTGTAAAAAAAAGACCCAGGAAACCAAGTCATAAACAGAAAGCTGCAGGGGAGAGCTGCTCTGAGTCAGCTGTTTAAAAGGCATCAGCAGGGGATTCATGCTGCACTGGCCCTGGTTTGAATCAACTTTACGCTCTGCTCATGCAAAAAAAAACACCAATAAGACTCCAAATAACAATTATTTTCATTAATCTGGCACTTATCTTCTTAAATAATTGAGAAGTTCTGTTTATAAAATGTCAGAAAACCACAAAATGACATCTTTAAATATCTTACATACAATGAAAACTTCACGCCGGAGAAGCTGGAAAAACCACGTTTGGCATTTCAGGCTTGAAAAGTGACTCAAACACTGATTAAAACAGTCAATCAATCAAACTACTGATTGCATGAGACAAACATAACAAATCAAAACATCATTGGTGGTAGATTATTGTAGCATAATTATAATAAAGCTTGTTAACTTGAGCTAGCGTATGTTAGCTTACTTGAGCTAATGGCCGCACAAAGCTGCATAATTCCACCTTTTCTGGCTGTTCTTTTGTAAGTTGCTCTCCTTAAAAGTCAGACAACTAAAGTCATAATAGCAAAAACAAAATAGCTACCAGACAAACCAGATGGAGTGCAACTGTTGTTTACTTTCCCTGGTTTGAAATTCAATTTTTCATTTCTGTTTTTCCCTCTTTAAAAGGTTAATTAGTCGTCCTTCAAAACCTGAAACATAAGATCAGAAGAGAAAGGTTTTGTGGCTGAAGTTTTGAAGTGAACAAGGGTGTGTTTAGTTTATGACTTTAAAGTTAAATTCTCACTGATTGAAGGTGTGAAATGTGAAGTTTTGCAGCTAACTAACTGCTAAAGTTACTCATGACAAACAGACTGAGGCTGTAGCAGCAAAAGTCCTCGATGTAGAAACTAAAGCAAGGTCACGTTTCACTATTCAGAGATTCATTTTTACTTGTGAGTGGGAACGACTGGGTTTTTAACTGACGAGCTGAATTATTAAGAGCACAAGAAATGTGTGGATGAAGAACTGAAAACTGAGATGTGACTGGTTGGTCTACTTCAGCCAAGGCCTACACTGGAAAAAAAGACACCATATTCCACAATACTGCAGTTCGACTAATAAAAGCTAAATAAAACATAAAACTAATGTGAATCAGTTGAGCAATAAAAAGAGTAAAACTTCAGCAGTACTTTGTGAAAACAGTTGGGCACTTTAAACTCATGCATTTCAGCAAGCAGGGGCTTGAATGGAAGATGGTTTTATGAGTAAAACGGGTATTTGAGAGGGAGTTTTATCGCAGCACTGGCTGGACCGTGGGTTTCTGAATCCAGAAGACTCTGGTGAAGTAATCACTGGGTCGCTGGTATTGATGAACAACCTACTTAAACCCGAGCAGGATTTAACACAGCTCTAAAATATTTTACACTGTGGTGCAGACAGGCTGGAGAATAATGGCGCGATTGCTGCTCAGAACAAAACAAACACACGCCTCCTACGCCCGTGACATTTCTGACCCTGTTAATTTTTTATCACGTTTTCCCTCCTCTCTTCCCGTCAGCGCTAATCAGTCGCTCCACACCTCCTAATCCCAGCGTTTCCAGCCTCCTCCCCCCTAAAAGCAGAGCAGCAGACCTCCTCGCTGCGTCAGACAGACACAGGAATTCAGGGAATGTCCTTCTGCGAGCCCAGTACTCCTCTTCTGCCCCCACGCACCACTATCGCCTGGCTGGAACGAACAGGGTTCATTAGCAGGCCTCGAAAATAGGAACCATACGCACGGCTTCCTGGCAGAGCGCAGCGTCTCCGGGGACGAATAAGACTTTAGTCCCAGAATCCACTCCTGAGTCGCTGTACAGTCGAGTTAATATCATAATACCGTCTCTGAGACATTGATCGGAGCACGAGCAGCGAGCATGAGTCGTAACCTCAGAATGGGATTAATGTTTCTGAGGAAGGTTTGTAAAAGAGATTTATGAAAAAAAGGCGACCGAGGTGGAAGAAAGGGAAAGCGAGAGGAGCGGAAAATGGGTTGCCTAGTATGGAAAGGAATGCCATTCATGTGAGCTGGAGTCTGACTAACAGTAGTCCATATGGTTCTCATAAGTCCAATCTGAACAAGGTTGTGGTGATTTAAGGTGCTCATTGTTGGCATTCCTGTCCGAGCATACATCATCCCAGCAGGGCCTGTGGGGTCAGAGCTGAAACGTACACCGAGGGCTTTAAACGCATCGAGCGGCGCTCTGAAATAAACCAGCGGAGGAGTAAACAGCTGCTCGCCGCTGCTGGCTCTTCTCACGCACCGTCACATGTAAAGTTCAGACTGTTGGAGGATCTTTTTCAGGGTTTACGGGACATACAGGAGAATGATGGGAACCATGCTGCTTTCATTTGTTATCACTCAGTCAAAGATGTAGCATCGAGATCAGGAGTTTTCTAAGTTGGACACTGACTTGAAACTGAAACTGACTGAAAAAACCTGCTAATACTAATGTCAAGACTGGACTTGTGGAATAATCCTGCTGAGTTCAGGAGCTACACAACTCCTTATGTGGCCTTCTGGGGATGAAAACAGGAAGTATACTTTTGCTAGTTAGTTCACTGGAGGCTTCATCTTCTTAATTGTTTACATTTAGAACTGCAGTTAAGCTTTAAGCCTTTAAGTTTAAGTTTAAGTTTAAGCCTATTAAATATGACTACTTTTGTTTTTTTTCCTCCTCTATGACACTAAACTAAATATCTTTGGTTATATAAACATATTTTTCTATGTTATATTGAGACTTTAGGATATACAAGTCACATTTTACATTTTTGGACACCATATCCTTTACACAGTATTTTACACACTGTACTTTTTACATGGCATATTGCACATGTTTTATTGCCTCTTTATATGTTTTTTAGTATGTTGTAGTACATCTGTGAATAGATTTTGTGCCAAAATGTTTAGTCTGTGATTGTAGCTGCTGTATCATATCCATCCATCTATCTCATCAATATATTTTCTCTTTTCTGTTATTTTTTTTCAGTTGATATACAGAATTTTATTTCAGATTAATATCTGAGACTCTGATATCTTCAGGAAGCATTAACACAACATTTTGTGTCCGGATCCGCGTTTGTTATCGTGCTGGTGACCTCGTCCACATATCAGATTAGCCTTCCATGAGCCTGAGAGAGAGACTTTTACTTTCCTTGTTTGCTAAATATAGTTGTGTTTGAACAAAATTAGGTGTTTGAAACCTCCCAGAGCGTGTAACCAGACGCAGCAGATATCGCGCTAACCGTCCGCTGAGTTACAACAAAGTGATGCCTTGTAAAAGGTCACTTTGCCCGGCCGCAGTCCCCTGGGTCGAGCCTGTGTGCATACGATAAGAGGATGTCCGGACTCAGCTGTCACATGCAGATGGCAGCGAGGTGTCTGCAGAAGACCTCGGCGACCTTCCCACAGGTACATGTCACTGCTTCGAGAAGCTCTGAGGCCATCAGAGGCTCCTCTCAGCCGCTGCCAGATGCACACTGCTCGTTTATTTCCCATCTCCTCCTTCTGTTTACCCAGCAGGCCGTTGCTCCGGGGCCGCTCGACGCTGCCATAATTGCTAGCGGGTAAATATTTACCACATCCAATGAGGTTGGAGCTTGCACGGCGGTGGTGGGAGCCCGCTCAGAGAGCGATGACATCATGAAGAGCCGGGGGGGCAGAGCAAACATTTGTTCCCACTCAGGTGATAGGAGCTCAGGATTCCTTCATAGGGGAGGCAGGCCACAGAGGGCTTAAAGAGCTGCCCTGAGGAGCCTAATAGAGGCCTTGTTAACGCTGGTGGTGACTGACTCATGACTCCTTCAGAACAAACCTGTTTACTTTGCATCCTGGCAGACTTCAGCTTCAGACATCTGAGAGTGTCGTCGTAACGTCAACAGCTACCTCGTGAGTTAGTTCTGTATTCACTCAGGTCCATGTACAGATGGGCTTTGGTCATTTCATGTGTATACAAATTAGGTCGCTGATGAGGAGTTCTTCTGAATAATGCACCAGTTAGTGTGTTTAATTAGTTGGTGAACAGAGACTGCTTTGATAATGAATTTGTCTTTCACAACATGATTCTTTTTTCCTGAATCTTTGGATGCATCACTTTGACCGCTGCATGAATCATTTTGCATCCATTTGCCACATTGTGATTTGAGGTCAGATGACAAATGAAAGGAAAAACCGGACTAAATAAGTGGAAAAATGTTCAGTAATTATAGCATATTCATTATAGTCATTCAGATACACTGTAGTAATTATGTAAACGACGTGGATCACATGCTCTGGCCTTCGCAGTCACCGCATCTCGACCCAGATCAACACAAACGGGAGGTTTTGGCAACAGCGCTCTCCACCACGAACATCAAAACAACAAATAAGGGAATAGCTTTTTAAAAAAATGCTGCTCATCCTTCCAGCGTCTCTGCCAAGACGCACCGAAGCCATTTTGGCATCTCGCCCAACTTACTAAGACGGCGTACGTTGGTTCATCTTTCCCTCGTATCGGAAAACCGTCGCTACGAACATGTTTTCTACCATATCGGCTCCAGCGCGCTTCACTTCTGCATGATTGTCTGCGGGTGGATTAAAGATAAAGATAACTTTATTGATCCCACAGTGGGGAAAGTTCACTGTTATTATTGTTGTTATTGCACCTGTGTGGCATGAATTCACAGGAAATCATCACTTCACAGCTTTTCGTTGGTTTCATACACACACATTGAACCACTTCCCTC